TTTTTTTTTTTTTTTTTTTTTTTTTTTGGCAATTGACCAAAAAGTTTGTGAAAGGTTGAACACGGAAAAGCCAAACAATGCTCCCGCTCGATAAAAAGCTGTGGGAGGAAATATGCTGTGCAACCAATGTCTCTCTCTTTTGTCGGATGAATATCGTTTCCTCCGCAAAAAAAAAAAAAAGGTTTGATGATTGATTGGGCGGTCTAATAGTTACGTATTACAAAAACAAACGTCGAAATATGTGAACCACGGATCCGCAACTGTATATCATTTTCCTGGCCAATCACAAGTTGCTCTCATCTCTTGAAGAAGAAAGAAAAAGCTTAAACAAGAAAACCCAAACTCAAACCCCTCGCACGTGTCCCGCATCATCAGCACCGTTTTCTATCAAGAAAATCTCGGCCTTGTAGGTTAATACAGATCTGATAAACATCCGAAGCAAAAATCCAGGACTTGCGTGATATTATTACATGGTCACTTCATTTACGAGCGTGTAGTTTCTAAAATACTCCATGTAACATGATTTGTCACCTTGGGCAATCACATTATTTAACAAACATTTGTAATCCTATATAGCAGATGTCACAAACCACTATACTTTTAAATGTGCTATTATTATTACAAGTTGTGAATCCAAACCATACGACATGATTGGTCACTATGGATTTGTTTGTTTTTCAATTAGTGCTAATTAGTTTTCGCACACTTTTTTTTTCAGTATGCCTACAAATGTTGTTGACGACTTTAAAGTCCGAGTATTATCACTGCCGAGAGCCCGCCTCATGACAGTTATAATCGACGGTCAATACCAAAGGTCTTGTCTGGAAAAAAATAAATAAAAAAAATGGAATACGGAAGACGCAGCCAATTCGGACGGACGTCATTCCGGCATTCCGGCTGATTATTGATTTAAAAAATTATACACGATACCAAAGCAGCCCCGCCTTCATTTCGCTTAAGAAAAACCTTTGGTTTTATACTCGGACTCTTTGAACGATTCATTAGATTCTGTCGTGAGTATAAGAGAATTATTGCCTTTTCACTTTGCGAATTTGGGCCTAAAGTAGATACAACAAAAAATATAAAAGCAAACATAATAATGCTCAAGTGTGTAGGTATACATTATAATCATATATACTCTTGTTTCGCTAAAACAAAAAACAAAAAAAGGCAAAACCCTGAGCTGCATGGGACTCGAACCCACAATCCCCAGATTCGAAGTCTGATGCCTTGTCCATTAGGCCAACAGCCCTTCCTTTACTTTAAGTTTTATTATATTTTCATTATTGTTATAATCGTTTTTATCAGCTACATTAACATGGTATAAGCTAAGACTTAGAATTGTCTACAAGTATAAACAAATCACATTCAATAATATTAGCTCCAAGAGGTAAAGAAAGTTTAAATATATAAATATATATATTTTAAACTATACTTAAATAGACTATAAGTTTTTTTTTTTTTTTTTTTTTTTTTTCAAAGTATAGCTTAAAATACATACTAAATTACTCTTACTACTTAGGCTAGCTACTGTATAACTGAAAACATAAAACTTAAAAAATTAAACTAAAGTTAATTATATAATATAATAAATTATCTAAATAGTTAAAATTATATAATATAATAAATTATCTGAATAGTTAAATTATATATATAAGATTATTTGAATTTATTATTATATACTATTTCTTTATATTTTAACTTAATTTAGTTTTTATTAATATAATTTAGTTTTCAATAATATATATAATTCTGCTACTAGTGATTTAATACTATTTATAATAATTAAACTATATCTCTTACATTTAGTATAAATATTCTTTTATTTATTAAATAAAGTTAGTTCTCTTAGAATCTTTAAATAACTCAATAATGAGTTATAGCAAAGCTTAAATTATTATAGTATATATTGTGATAGCTAACTCCCAAATTACCTGATTTTTACAAATTTGTACTATGCTTGATTTAGGAGTTACCATAACATTCCGTCCCCTTCTGTTTTTAGTCATTGATGACTTTTATTTCTGTTTGATGACTTTTATTTCTACTTGATAACTTTTATTTCTGCTTGACAACTTTTATTTCTGCTTAACAACTTTTATTTCTACTTGATAACTTTTATTTTTGCTTGATAACTTTTATTTCTGTAAAATGCTGCTATCAAAGTTATTATACATTCTTTATAATAATTGGATTATATTTTCATAGTGAAGTCTTTATTAATTGTTTTTTAGTCTTTCAAATTTGTATAAATACCCCCTCTATTTTCTATCTAAATAAATCAGTTTGTACAGAGTCTTAGAATATCTCAATATCAGTTATAGTAAAGCCTAAAGAGCATAGCATGTAGCTGTAGTAAGAATATACAAAGGGAGATATCGCATCTGATACTCTAAGCATTCTCACTTAGTATATTTGAATGAATGAATGATCAGTTATTAGTACATTTGTCATAATATAGCTATTAGTAAGAATATATAATAAAGAAATAATACTAAAAAGTTTTTATAATTAAACTTATTAGTATTAGCCTATAGTTTTTAATATAAAATATTATATCTTAGTATTGATTAATATATCTAATACCTTAATATCTTAACTAGATTTTCATTATTTATATTACTTGATCTAAGCTGTTATATAAATAAAAGAATAAGTAAACTATTAGTAAAGAATCAACTATAAACTTATTAAATTAATATTTTGTATAAAATAAAATATATTATCTTGAAAGATAACTAATTAAAGTTCTAAAAGATATTATAATATAGCCTGTATACTAGTATAGATTTAGATCACTAGTAGGATCAGATTCTATCTATGATAAGATCAAATTAAATCAATAAATCAATAAATAAGAAATAACTGCTTTAAAGCAGTATGTTCTAATATATAACCAATCATATATTTAGAGCTCTATAAATAACAATTTGAAGTAGACTCCAAATCTATATCACCAGATGTTTAAAATTAGCTAATCAACTATTTATATATATCAGACATTGATAAGGAAACTTAAAAATTTTTGCATTGGTAAATAAATGTTTATTAAAAAAATATAATTAGTTAAATAAAATGTTGTACTTATCATTATAATTAAGAAGTACTTGTAAGTATATAGTAGTGTAATTAACTATTGTATAAATCATGATATTTATATAATATCAGTTAATTAGAGATTGAGTTTCTTATATTTCAGTTTCTTCATCAATGTCTAGTCAGTGTAATTTTATAAAATATGGTTTTTACAAATTTAGAGTGATCGAGAGTCGAAATCAGCGTTCTTCCTTTCCACCTTACGCATTAATTCATCGCCAATTTGATTCCCTAGTATATATGCACAGGTCAGCCGGATCGAATCACCCACATTCAGATGCACACCGATTTCCGACATACCTTCGAGATTCAGCTGGGTAAGGGTCGTGTTCTGCTTCAGAGACTCGCCCAAAGCTCGGGCATCCTCAGCGCCAATGTCATTATCTACATACAAGAATATGCAGGTCAGCCGGATCGAATCACCCACATTCGAAACAGTCACACACTGAATTCCGACATACATCCGAGATTCAGCTGGGTAAGAGTCGTGTTCTGCTTCAAAGACTCGCCCAGAGCGTGAGCACCCTTAGCGCCGATGCTATTCCCTAGTAAATATGCACAGGTCAGCTGGATCGAATCACCCACATTCAAAACAGTCACGTACTGATTTCCGACATACATCCGAGATTCAGCTGGGTAAGGGTCGTGTTCTGTTTCAGAGACTCGCTCAGAGCGCAGGCACCCTCAGCACCGATGGTATTCCCTAGTAAATATGCACAGGTCAACTGGATCGAATCACTCACATTTAAAACAGTCACACACTGATTTCCGACATACCTCCGAGATTCAGCTGGGTAAGGGTCGTGTTCTGCTTCAGAGACTTGCACAGTGCACGGGCGCCTTCAGCGCCGATGTTATTCCCTAGTGAATATGCACAGGTCAGCTGGACCGAATCACCATTCAAAACAGTCACACACTGATTTCCGACATACCTCCAAGATTCAGCTGGGTAAGGGTTGTGTTTTGCTTCAGAGACTCGCCCAGAGCGCGGGCACCCTCAGCGCCAATGTTATTATCTACATACAAGAATATGCACAGGTCAGCTGGATCGAATCACCCACAGTCACACACTGATTCCCAACATACAGTAGAGATTCAGCTGGGTAAGGGTCGTGTTCTGCTTCAAAGACTCGCCCAGAGCGCAGGCACCCTCAGCACCGAATTTACACCCTAGTAAATATGCACAAGTCAGCTGGATCGAATCACCTACATTTAGATGCACACTGATTTCCGACATACCTTCGAGATTCAGCTGGGTAAGGATCACATTCTGCTTCAGAGACTCACCCAGAGCGCAGGCACCCTTAGCACCGATAGTATTCCCTAGTAAATATGCACAGGTCAACTAGATCGAATCACCCACATTCGAAACAGTTACACTGATTTCTGACATACCTCCGAGATTTAGCTGGGTAAGGGCCGTGTTCTGCTTCAGAGACTCGCCCAGAGCGCGAGCATCCTCAGCGCCAATGTTATTATTTACATATAGGAATATGCACAAGTCAGCTGGATCGAATCACCACATTTAATACAGTCACACACTGATTTCCAACATACGGTAGAGATTCAGCTGGGTAAGGGTCATGTTCTGCCTCAGAGACCCGCCCAGAGAGTGGGCACCCTCAGCGCCTATGGTATTCCCTAGTAAATTTGCACAGGTCAGCTGGATCGAATCACCCACATTCAAAACAGCTACACCCTGATTTCGGACATACCTCCGAGATTCAGCTGGGTAAGGGTCGTGTTCTGTTTTAGAGACTCGCCCAGAGCGCGGGCACCCTCAGCGCCAATGTTATTATCTACATACAAGAATATACACAGGTCAGCTGGATCAAATCATCATCCACATTCAAAACAGCCACACACTGGTTTCCGACATACCTTCGAGATTCAGCTGGGTAAGGGTCGTGTTCTGCTTCAGAGACTCACCCAGAGCGCGGGCACCCTCATCGCCAATCTTATTCACTGAAAAGTGCAAGAATATGCATAGGTCAGCTGGATCGAATTACCCACATTCAAAACAGTCACACACTTACCTAAGAGATTCAGGTGGGTAAGGGTCGTGTTCTGCTTCAGAGACTCGCCCAGAGCGCGAGCACCCCCAGCGCCGATGGCATTCCCCAGTAAATATGTACAGGTCAGCTGGATCAAATCACCCATATTCAAAACCGCCACACACTTACATTTGAGATTCAGCTGGGTAAGGGTCGTGTTCTGCTTCAGAGACTCGCCCAGAACGCAGGCACCCTCAACACCGATTTTACTCCCTAGTAAATATGCACAGGTCAGCTGGATCGAATCACTCACATTCATATGCACACTGATTTCCGACATACCTTCGAGATTCAGCTGGATAAGGGTCGTGTTCTGCTTCAGAGACTCGGCCAGAGCACGGGCACCCTCATCGCCAATCTTATTTACTGAAAAGTGCAAGAATATGCACAAGTCAGCTGGATTGAATCACCCATATTCAAAACAGCCACGCACTGATTTCCGTCATACAGGAGAGATCCAGCTGGGTAAGGGTCGTGTTTTGCTTCAGAAACTCGCCCAGAGCACGGGCACCCTCAGCGCCAATGTTATTATCTACATACAAGAATATGCACAGGTCAGCTGGATCGAATCACTCACATTCAAAATAGTCACATACTTGCCTACGAGATTCAGCTGGGTAAGGGTCGTGTTCTGCTTCAGAGACTCGCTCAGAGCGTGAGCACCCTCAGCGCCGATAGTATTCCCTAGTAAATACGTACAGGTCAGCTGGATCAAATCACTCATATCAAAACAGTCACATACTTACATTTGAGGTAAGGGTCGTATTCTGCTTCAGAGACTCGCCCAGAGCGCAGGCACCCTTAGCACCGATTTTACTCCCTAGTAAACATGCACAGGTCAGCTGGATCGAATCATCTACATTCACATACACACTGATTTCCGATATACCTTCGAGATTCAGCTGAGTAAGGGTCATGTTCTGCTTCAGAGACTCGCTCAGGGCACGGGCACCCTCAGCGCCTATGGTATTCCCTAGTAAATATGCACAGGTCAGCTGGATCGAATCACCCACATTCAAAACAGCTACACACTTACATCTGATACTCAGCCGGGTAAAGACCGTGGGATGCTCCAGAAACTCGGATAGGCTGCATGCTTCCT